CAAGACCAGCCGTATAAACCTCCCCCTGTCTGCGCTGTTGGTTCCCAAGACACCGTATACATCCCCCCTGTCGCTGTTGGTCCCCAAGACAGCCGTATACATCCCCCTGGTCTGCTGCTGGTCCCAAGACAAGCCGTAATACATCCCCTGTATGCTGTGGTCCCAAGACAGCGTATAACAAATCTCCCCCTGTCTGCTGTTTGTCCCAAACAAGCCGTATACAATATCCCCTGTCTGGCTGCTGTTGGTCCCAAGACAGCCGTATCATCCCCCTGTCTGCTGCTGTTGGTCCTGCAAGACAAAAGCCTTATACATCCCCCTGTCTTGCTGCTGTTGGTCCCCAAGACAGCCCTTATACAATCCCCTGGTCTGCTGCTGGCTTTTGGTTCCCAAGATCAGCGTAGACAATCCCCTGTCCTGCTGTTGGGGGGGGGGGGGGGGGGGTCCCAAGACAAGCCGTAATACATCCCCCTTGTCTGTTTGGTCCCAAGTCCAAGCCGATACATCCCCCTGTCTGTTGGTCCGCAAGACAAGCCCGTATACATCCACCTGTCCTGTTGTTGGTCTCCAAGACAACCCGTCTACATCCCCCCTGTTCCTTGCTGGCTGTTTGGTCCCAAGACAGGCCGTATTACCATCCCCCTTGTCTGCTTCTGTTTGGTCCCAAGAAACAAGCCCTATACAAATCCACCTGTCTGCTGTTGGTCCCAAGCCACGCCGTATACACTATCCACCTGTCTGCTGTTGGTCCCAAGTACCGAGCCCGTATACATCCCCCTGGTCTGCTGTTGGTCCCAAGACAAGCCGTATACACATCCCCCTGTCTGCTGTTGGTCCCAAGAACAGCCGTATACAATCATCCCCTGTCCTGCTGTTGGTCCCAAGGACCAAGCCGTATACATCCCCCTGTCTGTTGGTCCCAAGACAGCCGTATACATCCAACCTGTCTGTTGTTTGGGGTCCCAAGACATAGCCGTAATACATCCCCCCTGTCTGCTGGTGCTGGCTGGTTTGGTCCAAGACAGCCGTATACATCCCCCTGTCTGTTTGTTTGGCCAAGACAGCCGTATACAACCTCCACCTGTCTGCTGCTGTTGGTCCCCAAGACAAGCCGTATACAACATCCACCTGTCTGCTGCTGTTTGGTCCAGACACCGTATACACAAAAAAAATCCCCCTGTCTGGTGTTGGTCCCAAGACAAGCCGTATACATCCCCCTGTCCTCTGCTGTTTGTCCCAGACAGCCGTAGACCAACCCCCTGTCCTGCTGTGCTGTTCCCAAGACAGCCGTATACATCCCCTGTCTGTCTGCCTGTTGGTGCCCAAGACCCAGCCGTAGACATCCCCCTGTCTGCTGTTTGGTTCCCAGACCAAGCCGTATAACATCCCCTGTCTGCCTGGCTGTTGGTCCCAAGACATCCGTATACATCCCCCTGTCGCTGCTGTTGGTCCCAAGACCGCCGTATACCAACCCCCTGTCTGCCGCTGTTGGTCGCCAAGACAGCCGTATACATCCCCCTGTCTGCTGTTGGTCCCCCAGACCGCCCCCGTATACATCCCCCTGTCTGCTGGTTTGGTCCCAAGACCAGCCGTATACAAAATCCCCCCTGTCCTGCTGTTTGGTCCCAAGACAGAGCCGTATTAACCCATCCTCCCGGTCTTGCTTGTTTTTGTGGTCCCAAGACAGCCGTAATACAACAATCGCGCACCTGCTGCTGCTGCGGGTTTGGTCCAAGACGAGCCGTAGATACATCCCCTGTTCTGGCTTTTGGTTCTCCCAAGAACAGCCGATACATCCCCCTGTCTGCTGTTGGTCCCAAGAACAGCCGTATACATCCCCCCTGATCCCCCTGTCTGCCTGTGTCCCAAGACAGCCTTATCATTCCCCCTGTCTCTGTTGTGTTGGTCCCAAGACGCCGTATACCATCCCCCCTGTCTGCTGTTGTTCCCAAGACAAACAAAACCGTATACATCCCCTGTCTGCCCTGCTGTTGGTCACAAGACAGCCGTAATACATCCCCCTGTCTGCCTGGTGTGGTTCACCAAGACAAGCCGTATACATCCCCCTGTCCTGGCTGTTGGTCCCCAAGCAGCCGTATACATCCCCCCCCCGTCCTGCTGTTGGTCTCAGACAAGCCGTATACTCCCCCTGTCTGTTTGTTGGTCCCAACAGCCCGTAGACATCCCCCTGGTCTGCTGTTGGTTCCCAGACGCCGTATTACCAAATCCCCCTGTCTGCTGCTGTTGGCCCCCCCAAGACAGCCGTATAAAAACATCCCCCCTGTCTGCTGTTGGTCCCAGACAAGCCGTATACATCTCCCTGTCTGTCTGATGTGCTGTTGGTCCCAAGACAAAGAGCCGTATACATCCCCCTGTCTTCCTGCTGTTGGTCCCAAGACAGCCGTAGACATCCACCTGTCTGCTGCTGGTTGTCCCAAGACACAGCCGTATACAAATCCCCTGTCTTGCTGGCGGTCCCAAGAACAAGAGCCGTATACATCCCCCTGTCTGCCTGTTGGTCCCAAGACAGCCGTATACCAAAATCCCCCGTTGCTGTTTGGTCCCAAGACACCGTATACAATCCTACACCCCCTGTCTGCTGTTGGGTTCCACAAGACAGCCGTATTACATCCCCCTGTCTGCTGTTGTTGGTCCCAAGGACAAGCCGTTTATTACATTCCCCACTGTCTGCTTGCTTGTTGGTCTCCCAAGGACAGCCGTATACATTCCCCCTGTATGCTGCTGTTTGGTCCCCAAGACAGCCGTTTCTACTCCCCCCCCCCCCCCCCCCTGTCTGCTGCCTGTTGGTCCAAGACAGCCGTATACATCCCCCTGTCTGCTGTTGGTCCCCAAGACAGCCGTATACATCACCCTGTCTGCTGTTGGTCCCAAGACAGCCTTATACATCCCCTGTCTGCTGCTTGTTGGTCCCAAGACAAGCCGTATACATCCCCCTGTCTGCTGCTTGGTTGGTCCCACGACAGCCTATACATACCCCCTGTCTGGCTGGCTGTTGGTTCCCAAGACAGCCGTATTACTCCCCCCTGTCTGGCTGTTGCCTTCCCAAGACAGCCGTTATACATCCCCCTGTCTCCTGCTGTTGGTCCCCAAGACAGCCGTATACTCCATCCCCACTTCTGCTGTTGGTCCAAGACAGGCCGTATACCTCCCCCTGTCTGCTGTTTGGTCCCAAGACAGCCGTAATACATCCCCCCCTGTCTGCTGTTGGCCCAGACGCCGTATACATCAAATCCCTCCTGTCTGGCTGTTGGGTCCCAAGACAGCCGTATACATCCCCCCCCCGCCGTCTGCTGTTGGTCTCAAGAGACAGCCGTATACAAATCCCCCCCCTGTCTGTTGTTGGTTCCCAATACAGCCTTATACATCCCCCTGTCTGCTGTTGGTCCCAAGACAGCCGTATACATCCCCTCCCAATCCCCCTGTCTTCTGCTGTTGGTCCCAAGACAGCCGTATACACTCCCCCTGTCCTGCTGTTGGTCCCCAAAGACAGCCGTATACATCTCCCCCCCCCTGTTCTGCTGCTGTTGGTCCCCAGACAGCCGTATACAAATCCCCCTGTCTGCTGCTGTTTGGTCGCCAAGACCGCCGTATACATCCACCTGTCTGCTTCTGTTGGTTCCAAGACGCCGTATACATCCACCCTGTCTGCTGTGGTCCCAAGACAAGGAGCGTATAACACATCCCCCTGTCTGCTGTTTGGTCCCAAACCGCCGTATACATCCCCCTGTCTGGCTGGCTGTTGGTCCCAAGACAGAAAGGGTTCCTTTGAGCCAGAATAGGAGGAATTGCTCTGGAAACATGACGCCGGCAGATATTAGTTTTTCAATGTTTCTCTTCTTCTTCTTCTTCTTCTTCTGCCTTGGACTGGGTGTATTCAACTAGAACCACAGGTCTGGGACCGTTGCTGAATTTGTCCAAAATATAAACTCTTTTTTCGTAGCAAAAAATTTTTTGCTATGGTTTGCTACAGTTGTGCGCATAATGAATATGCCCATGGTGGTTAGTTAACCTCTTAAGGGATCGACCCCTTTTTTTTTTTCCAATTTTTTTGCCTACATGACTACCCAAATCCCAAATCTAACTGCCTGTAGCTCAGGACCTGAAACAAGGATTTGCATATTCTTGATACCATTTGAAAGGAAACACTTTGAAGTTGGTGGAAATGTGAAATTAATGTAGGAGAATAACACATTAGATCTGGTAAAAGACAATACAAACAAAAAAACATGCGTTTTCTATAAATAAAATTTAAGTGTTCAATTGTCTTTGAAATGCAAGAGAAAGGCCACAATATAATATTGCATTTTAGGTGCAATTTAGATTCTGGCCACTAGATGGCAGCAGTGTGTGTGCAAAGTTTCCGATTGATCCAGTGAAGCATTGCAATACTGGACTATTTTGTATCAAGTCTGCCTAAATGTGCCGAATTGGTCAATTGATACATTTAAGTACACAACTATAGAGAACATACAAAAATGATATGGTAATACAAAATGTAAGTTTACACACTCCCAGGAATGTCATACATGATGGATCATTAGCTTATACACTAACTTTCACTCATCTAGATGGCCGGGCGGGGTGGGTGTGGAGCCAGAGACAGCAGGGGTTCAAACTGTAGAACCCAGTTCCTACATTTGAATATTAAAAATGGATTTTATCAAACAAAACTATGCTACATTTTATCTCTGGGACCCTCAGGATGATAATCAGAGCAAGATTACTGAATGCAAGTACATTATTTACCTATTATTTACGCTTTTCACTGTAATAGCTACTGTAAATTGGACAGTGCAGTTAGATTAACAATAATGTAAGCTTTCTGCCCATATAAGACGTGTCTATGTCCTGGAAAGTTTGCTGTTACTTACAACAGTCATGCTAATCACATTAGCACACGTTAGCTCAACCGTCCTAGGTTTTGATCTTGGACTGATGATTGTTGTTTGCCTGTTTGTCCTTCAGGAGGTAAAGACGGTATGGTCGGGTTTCCAGACTTCATCTATAAACACATAGTCCCAGCATGCTTCCTGGCTCCCCTCAAACCATCCTTTGATCTCACAGACGCTCAGACCGTCCTGGTGAGTACCTGGAACCAGATTTTATCAGAGACACAATATCCCTCTACATCTATGAACGGAAGTTTGACTCATTTGACAAAACAAAACTCAAAACTTTTTCTGTATTTCAGACGTTGTCAGAGTGTGCGCTCACGTTGAAAATGATTCATCTCAAAAGGGTAAAGCTTCTCTTTTGGTTTCTTAGTCTTCACAATGCTCGACTTGTTGAGAACTTGATCTAACTGAAACCTTGGACCTTATATGGATGACATCATGGTGTTTGTCATGTCATGTTTTGTACTTCCTGGTCTGCAGGGTCCAGAGTTCATCCAGTACCTCCAACAGGTGTACCTGCCTTCTCTACAGGTGTCACCGGAAATCACACAGGTACCACTGTCGCATAAGCCAATCAAATCACAGCTGAATCGAGCACACGCACACACGTTGTTCAGGAAATGTAGCTCTTCTAGTTCTGTAACTCTCTTCCTCCTCTCACAGGAACTGTGCCAAGTGCTTCAGCAGCCAGACGTCAAGGTCCTCAAAAACTACATTAAGGTACGTTGTCAGCTGGTTGTTGCCTTAACACCTTTAGAAACAGGTCCACTCAGTAGGCCACGTCTTGGTACTAGCAACCTAAAACTGTTTCCTCTACTCAGTAGGCCACGTCTTGGTACTAGCAACCTAAAACTGTTTCCTCCAGTCAGTAGGCCACGTCTTGGTACTAGCAACCTAAAACTGTTTCCTCTACTCAGTAGGCCACGTCTTGGTACTAGCAACCTAAAACTGTTTCCTCCACTCAGTAGGCCACGTCTTGATACTAGCAACCTAAAACTGTTTCCTCCACTCAGTAAGCCACGTCTTGGTACTAGCAACCTAAAACTGTTTCCTCCACTCAGCAGGCCACGTCTTGGTACTAGCAACCTAAAACTGTTTCCTCCACTCAGCAGGCCACGTCTTGGTACTAGCAACCTAAAACTGTTTCCTCCACTCAGTAGGCCACGTCTTGGTACTAGCAACCTAAAACTGTTTCCTCCACTCAGCAGTCCACGTCTTGGTACTAGCAACCTAAAACTGTTTCCTCCACTCAGTAGGCCACGTCTTGGTACTAGCAACCTAAAACTGTTTCCTCCACTCTGTAGGCCACGTCTTGGTACTAGCAACCTAAAACTGTTTCCTCCACTCAGTAGGCCACGTCTTGATACTAGCAACCTAAAACTGTTTCCTCCACTCAGTAGGCCACGTCTTGGTACTAGCAACCTAAAACTGTTTCCTCCACTCAGTAGGCCACGTCTTGGTACTAGCAACCTAAAACTGTTTCCTCCCTCAGTAGCCCACGTCTTGATACTAGCAACCTAAAACTGTTTCCTCCACTCAGTAGGCCACGTCTTGATACTAGCAACCTAAAACTGTTTCCTCCACTCAGTAGGCCACGTCTTGGTACTAGCAACCTAAAACTGTTTCCTCCACTCAGTAGGCCACGTCTTGGTACTAGCAACCTAAAACTGTTTCCTCCACTCAGTAGGCCACGTCTTGGTACTAGCAACCTAAAACTGTTTCCTCTACTCAGTAGGCCACGTCTTGGTACTAGCAACCTAAAACTGTTTCCTCTACTCAGTAGGCCACGTCTTGGTACTAGCAACCTAAAACTGTTTCCTCCACTCAGTACGCCACGTCTTGGTACTAGCAACCTAAAACTGTTTCCTCCACTCAGTAGGCCACGTCTTGGTACTAGCAACCTAAAACTGTTTCCTCCACTCAGTAGGCCACGTCTTGGTACTAGCAACCTAAAACTGTTTCCTCCACTCAGTAGGCCACGTCTTGGTACTAGCAACCTAAAACTGTTTCCTCCACTCAGTAGGCCACGTCTTGGTACTAGCAACCTAAAACTGTTTCCTCCACTCAGTAGGCCACGTCTTGGTACTAGCAACCTAAAACTGTTTCCTCCACTCAGTAGGCCACGTCTTGGTACTAGCAACCTAAAACTGTTTCCTCCACTCAGTAGGCCACGTCTTGGTACTAGCAACCTAAAACTGTTTTCCTCCACTCAGTAGGCCACGTCTTGATACTAGCAACCTAAAACTGTTTCCTCCACTCAGTAGGCCACGTCTTGATACTAGCAACCTAAAACTGTTTCCTCCACTCAGTAGGCCACGTCTTGATACTAGCAACCTAAAACTGTTTCCTCCACTCAGTAGGCCACGTCTTGGTACTAGCAACCTAAAACTGTTTCCTCCACTCAGTAGGCCACGTCTTGGTACTAGCAACCTAAAACTGTTTCCTCCACTCAGTAGGCCATGTCTAGATACTAGTAATAACAGAACATCTGACAAGATTATCTCTCTGTCTCTGTCTCTCTCTCTGTGTCTCTCTCTCCACAGGCTTTCTTTCAGCGAGCCAAACTGTAAATAAGAACCCAATTGGAAGGATTGAGAGAGGACACTGGAAACTAAGAGAAGACTGGTAGTGAGATAGGACCACTCACTACGGACAGAGAGAGAGCTTAAAGACGGAGAGCTTAGCATAGGAGCGGCCTTAGCACTTCTGAAGGTGACTGCATAACCCCGCCCATCCTGTCCACGTGGGAGGGAACGGAGCCAAGAACACCAGTGGTCAAGGAGGCTTTCACCGGGGTGACCACACCCCCTCCGCTGATCCAGGCCCAATCAGGGACGTGCTCTCCGTCTGGGGTGGCACCCTGGTCAGGTGAAGATGTGATCGCTTGGATTCTCTGCAATACAGGAAGTAAACTAGAGTATAGAGGGAGGGGTTATGGAACGGGACTTCCGTATTAGTATCCATGAGCAAGTCTGAAGCCTCATCTTTCCTTTTGCCTACTTTTAAAAAAAATGTTTTGGTAATGAGCTAACAATGACCCGAACTTAAGAATCTAATGATTAGGATTTATTTATTAGTTTAAAAAGAACGAGTTTTTTTTTTTTAGGTCTCCAAGATGTTTTTCATTTGAGTGGTTGTGTTGGACGTGGAGGTCTGTTTCTCTTTGCCCTGTGAATGAATTGATGGAACAAATAAAAAAAGGGCTGGCTTGATATTTTTCTAGATTTTTATGTTGTGGAAGAAATGGAACGGTTGAGGTAGGATGTCTTTTTTTATTTTTTTTGAAGTGACTTACAGTGGATGACATGCTCCTGGTATATACACTGCTCAAAAAAATAAAGGGAACACTTAAACAACACAATGTAACTCCAAGTCAATCACATTTCTGTGAAATCAAACTGTCCACTTAGGAAGCAACACTGATTGACAATAAATGTCACATGCTGTTGTGCAAATGGAATAGACAACAGGTGGAAATTATAGGCAATTAGCAAGACACCCCCAATAAAGGACTGGTTTTGCAGGTGGTGACCACAGACCACTTCTCAGTTCCTATGCTTCCTGGCTGATGTTTTGGTCACTTTTGAATGATGGCGGTGCTTTCACTCTAGTGGTAGCATGAGACGGAGTCTACAACCCACACAAGTGGCTCAGGTAGTGCAGCTCATCCAGGATGGCACATCAATGCGAGCTGTGGCAAGAAGGTTTGCTGTGTCTGTCAGCGTAGTGTCCAGAGCATGGAGGCGCTACCAGGAGACAGGCCAGTACATCAGGAGACGTGGAGGAGGCCGTAGGAGGGCAACAACCCAGCAGCAGGACCGCTACCTCCGCCTTTGTGCAAGGAGGAGCAGGAGGAGCACTGCCAGAGCCCTGCAAAATGACCTCCAGCAGGCCACAAATGTGCATGTGTCTGCTCAAACGGTCAGAAACAGACTCCATGAGGGTGGTATGAGGGCCCGACGTCCACAGGTGGGGGTTGTGCTTACAGCCCAACACCGTGCAGGACGTTTGGCATTTGCCAGAGAACACCAAGATTGGAAAATTCGCCACTGGCGCCCTGTGCCCTTCACAGATGAAAGCAGGTTCACACTGAGCACGTGACAGATGTGACAGAGTCTGGAGACGCCGTGGAGAACGTTCTGCTGCCTGCAACATCCTCCAGCATGACCGGTTTGGCGGTGGGTCAGTCATGGTATGGGGTGGCATTTCTTTGGGGGGCCGCACAGCCCTCCATGTGCTCGCCAGAGGTAGCCTGACTGCCATTAGTTACCGAGATGAGATCCTCAGACCCCTTGTGAGACCATATGCTGGTGCGGTTGGCCCTGGGTTCCTCCTAATGCAAGACAATGCTAGACCTCATGTGGCTGGAGTGTGTCAGCAGTTCCTGCAAGAGGAAGGCATTGATGCTATGGACTGGCCCGCCCGTTCCCCAGACCTGAATCCAATTGAGCACATCTGGGACATCATGTCTCGCTCCATCCACCAACGCCACGTTGCACCACAGACTGTCCAGGAGTTGGCGGATGCTTTAGTCCAGGTCTGGGAGGAGATCCCTCAGGAGACCATCCGCCACCTCATCAGGAACATGCCCAGGCGTTGTAGGGAGGTCATACAGGCACGTGGAGGCCACACACACTACTGAGCCTCATTTTGACTTGTTTTAAGGACATTACATCAAAGTTGGATCAGCCTGTAGTGTGGTTTTCCACTTTAATTTTGAGGGTGACTCCAAATCCAGACCTCCATGGGTTGATACATTTGATTTCCATTGATAATTTGTGTGATTTTGTTGTCAGCACATTCAACTATGTAAAGAAAAAAGTATTTAATAAGATTATTTCATTCATTCAGATCTAGGATGTGTTATTTTAGTGTTCCCTTTATTTTTTTGAGCAGTGTATTTACTTGGCCTTCTGTTCCAGTTCTAAGGTCCCCCTGTCCCCCAGAACGTCCCCCTGTCCCCCAGAACGTCCCCCTGTCCCCCAGAACGTCCCCCGGTCCCCCTGTCCCCCAGAACGTTGTCGGGTCCCCCTGTCCCCCAGAACGTTGTCGGGTCCCCCAGAACGTCCCCCTGTCCCCCCAGACATTTGGGACAGAGCTCTATGTAGGGAATGGGATGCCATTTGGGACAGGGCTCCATGTAGGGAATGGGATGCCATTTGGGACAGGGCTCCATGTAGGGAATGGGATGCCATTTGGGACAGGGCTCTATGTAGGGAATGGGATGCCATTTGGGACAGAGCTCCATGTAGGGAATGGGATGCCATTTGGGACAGGGCTCCATGTAAGGAATGGGATGCCATTTGGGACAGGGCTCTATGTAGGGAATGGGATGCCATTTGGGACAGGGCTCCATGTAGGGAATGGGATGCCATTTGGGACAGGGCTCTATGTAGGGAATGGGATGCCATTTGGGACAGGGCTCTATGTAGGGAATGGGATGCCATTTGGGACAGGGCTCTATGTAGGGAATGGGATGCCATTTGGGACAGGGCTCTATGTAGGGAATGGGATGCCATTTGGGACAGGGCTCTATGTAGGGAATGGGATGCCATTTGGGACAGGGCTCTATGTAGGGAATGGGATGCCATTTGGGACAGGGCTCTATGTAGGGAATGGGATGCCATTTGGGACAGGGCTCTATGTAGGGAATGGGATGCCATTTGGGACAGGGCTCTATGTAGGGAATGGGATGCCATTTGGGACAGGGCTCTATGTAGGGAATGGGGTGCCATTTGGGACAGGGCTAAGTAACCCACTAAGGTATGTCATGTTTAGAATGCCCTCAACTGGAGGAATGTGGACCAGACTGACTAAGTGTTTGGCCCCAGTGTTAGTTAAAACACATTACTTTCAGAAGGAATTAAGAACATTTTAATAGTGGATCAAAATGTAAATATTACGTTTATAATTAGGAATGTTGGATGTAAATAAATTAGTTTAATGGTTTGGCTTTTTGTTTTGAACTTTCATTCCTTTCTGAAAAGATATATTGCAAAATGTTAGTGTGGTCCTGGATAAAGGCTAAAGCAGCATGATCCAAGTATGAACAGACTTAAACCTGCCAACCGCATTTTATACCTAAGTATTAGTGACAATTCATGATTGACTATGCAATGTTTATTGCCTGCAATACTGTGAAGCAACCTGCCTGTTTAAATATACTGAACGTAAATATAAACGTGCAACAATTTCTAAAATTTTTACTGAGTTTACAGTTCATAAGGAAATCAGTCAATTGAAATAAATTACACCCTAATCCAGGGTTCTTCAATTCCGGTCCTGGAGGGCCGAAACACTTCTGTTTTTTTATTTCTACCTGGTAGTTAATTGCACTCACCTGGTGTCCCAGGTCTGAATTAGCCCCTGATTAGAAGGAGAGGATGGAAAAACAGAGGTGTTTCGGGCCTCCAGGACCGGAATGGAAGAACCCTGCTCTAACCCGACCACTCTATAACCTACAGGAAATCAGTCAGTTGAAATAAATAAATTAGACCCTAATCTATGGATTTTACATGACTGGGCAGGGAGCCATGGGTGGGCCTGGGAGGGCATCGGCCCACCCACTTAATGAATTCCCCCCCCCCCACAAAATAGCTTTATTACAGATAGAAATACTACTCAGCCCCCCCCCCCTCCACTCAGACGATCCCGGATGTGGAGGTCCTGGGCTGGCGTGGTTACACGGTCTGCTGTACTGCCAAATTCACTAAAACGACGGATGCAGCTTATGGTAACAGCTCTGGTGGACATTCCTGCGGTCAGCATGCCAATTGCACGCTCCCTCAACTTGAGACATCTGTGGAATTGTGTTGTGTCACAAAACCGCACATTTTAGTGGCCTTTTGT